ATTGCTACCCTATCTCAGCTAGTGAGGAATGGTAAACGTTAAGTTGTTTCCGCATTTATACACATTTGGAACATGAAGTCTCGATCCTACTTCTAAAGCTGAGATGAACCCCGCTTGTTGTTTCAAGCTCAGTGAATTTTATTACCTTTTATTAATGAAAATAACTTTTTCAGCATATAATTTTGTTAAATATCATGATAGCTATCTAAGCATTAAATTGAAAATAATTGATGGTACTTTTGATCGCGCAAGCGGTGAGGCGCATCTTGCCTTTCGCGGCATGGAACTGAAATGTATTATATGGGAATGATCCATCCTTCCGATTTTTCACTCTTAATTGTTTCACTCAATCCAAGTATTCTGCCGCCTGTACCCCACATACGACACACATTCAGTACTCGTGCGCATTAGCCTTGAGGAAAGTAGTTTACACGTGTGCGCGTTGCTCTGGTTTTCTATACGGGGTAAAAGAGGGAATATAGGAATAGGCGTGCACCTTTCTCTGTAACCCCCAATAGCACAATGGATTTTAGCACACACGGCGTCTCTTCGAAACGTCCACGAGATGATGGTCGGCATAACCGTGCAGCCACGTTGCCGCGTGGGGTGGATTGGCTGTCCTCGAGTCTCGCCAGCGAAGTTGAGCAAGCTGAAGTGCTTGGGCACGAGCAGGATACGACGGAGGCGCGCGCCATCGGCGTGGACGATGATGTCGCCACCCTGGCGTATGGCGGGGAGTACTTCCTCCGGGAGGCGAACCTCGCGGAGCTTTCCAGTCGGCACCCCGCCGGCCTCTCTGGGAGGGCGGACTCGCAGCGCGATACTGGGGTCGCCTCGGGGAGTGGCGGCGGTGGTGGAAGGCAGGAGGAGAAGGCGGAGCTTTACGTCAACGCGGCGTTCGCGCAGCCGCGATTTTTCCTGCTCGGGAAGGACTTCCCCTCGGTTGACGTCCCACGGGCTGTCGTCGACGACGGCGACGAGACCGGGGGGTCCGGGGCCCCCGCCTCCACCCCGTCTCTTTGGGCAGCCGCGCACGAGACGGACGCCGACATCCTCCTCCCTGTCGTCAGCGCGCAGTGCGCGATGGCGCAGCTCGCGAGCAAAGGCAGTGCGGCCCTCGCCGACCTCCGCCGGCTTCTCGCGCGGGAGCAGCAGAACCGGGACGCGATGGACACCTCCCGCTCGAGCCTGACCCAACTTCTGAAGAAGGACCCCTTTGGACGGGAGGTCCCTGCGGCCGGGACGGACCCTGCGGCCCTCTGTGACACGACGTCGTCCACTTCCTTCCTGGGCCTGCGGGATCCGGACGGGCCCACGTCCGACGAGGTGGAGGGCTTACGGCGGAAGTTGCGGTTGGAGCAGGCGGCGCTTCGTTCCAAGACCACCCCCCACCCGCCTGGTGACACCCGTGGGAAAGGGGAAGGGGAAGGAGCAGGGGGGAATCGCCCGGGGCTCCTCCCCGAGGACCTCCGTCGGCAGCAGCAACGCAGCTTCAAACGGGAGAAACTCGAGCACATCCTCGCGGCGCAGGCGGCGCTGGACCACACCGCCGACTCCGAGGCCGAGGCAGAGCGCCGGGAGGAGCTTCGCCGGAAGCAGGAGCAGCTCCCGATTTTTCGCTGTCGTCGCGAGCTCCTGCGGTGTATCGCGGAAAACACCGTGACCATCATCGCAGGGGAGACTGGAAGTGGGAAGACAACGCAGCTCGTTCGCTATTTATACGAGGAAGGTTATGCGCGGTATGGAACGATAATTGGGTGTACACAGCCTCGCCGGTTGGCGACGATCGCGGTTGCCCGTCGAGTGAGCGAAGAGATGCGCTGCGCCCTCGGCACCACGGTTGGCTACTCCATCCACCTTGACGACACCACCACTGATCAGACGAAGATCAAATTCATGACGGATGGTGTTTTACTGCGGGAGGTCGTGAAGGATCCGAATTTGGATTCCTATGGCATCCTTATGATTGACGAAGCCCACGAGCGCTCGGTTGATACAGATGTGCTAATGGGCATTCTTAAAGATGCCATTCGTAGTCGTGGGGATCTCAAGCTAATCATATCCTCTGCCACGATGGATGTGCAGAAGTTTTCGCGCTTTTTCGGCAACGCGCCTTACTACGAGATCCCTGGTCAAACCTACGAGGTGGAGATCCGCTACAGCCCGAAGCCAGTGATGGATTACGTCGCCGAGGCCGTCTTTCGCGTCTGCCAGCTTCATTTGCAGGCGCCGATGGAGGCGCGGCAGGATATTCTCGTCTTTATGACGGGGCGGGATGATGTCTACGGCACCTGCGAGCTCATCCGCCGCCGCCTTGCCGAGATCAGCCCTGAACATCTCAAGACCCTGATGCTGCTGCCGTGTTTGTCGGAGGCATCGGGGGTTTCCAGCGCGGGTGAAGGCGTTGCGAATCTTCTCCTGGCGGAGACCCCGAGTGGGCTGCGGAAGTGCGTCGTCTCGACGAATGTCGCGGAGACTTCCCTAACGATTGACGGCGTCCGCTACGTCGTGGATTGCGGGCTGATGAAGACGAACGTGTTTCGCCCGAGGCTGGGAATGAACACGCTGCAACGCTACCCGGTTTCGCAGGCGCAGGCGAACCAGCGAAAAGGCCGCGCCGGGCGCACGGCCGAAGGGGTTTGCTTTCGTTTATACACCGAAGAGCAGTTCGCGCGGGAGATGCTGTTGAATAGCGTGCCGGAGATCCAACGGAGCAGCCTGGATAGCGTCGTATTGCTGCTCAAAGGGGTAGGGGTGCGGCGGATTCGGGAGTTCGAATTTGTCGATCCCCCGCCGGCCGCGAATATCCGAAGCAGCATGTGGCGTCTGTGGGTTCTTGGGATGTTGGATGTTGAGGGGGAGATCACGGATGAGGGACGGCTCGCGATTGAGTTTCCGATCGCCCCGGCGCTGGCGAAACTCCTCCTGGAGAGCACCAAGCACGGCTGTTCGTTTGAGGTCGCTCGCATCGTCGCGCTCATCACGGCGGATCCAAAGAACTTTTTCGAATTACCCAAAGGGAAAGAAGCGATCGCGCAACAGCATTTTGGACGCTTTTTTAACAATGAATCGGATCATCTCACGCTACTGAATGCCTTTACGCAGTTCCTAGAGAATGGCAAGTCGCGTCAGTGGGCGCAGGATCACTATCTGCATTTTCCTACGCTCCAGCGCGCATGTGATGTGCTCGAGCAGCTCCTTGATCGCCTTCGTCAGCTGCGTTTGCCGGTTGTTTCCTGCCAACAAGCGCATGGTGGCGCGCTCGATGTCGTGCGGTATTGCCTTGCGAGGGCTTTTTGTCTGCAAGCCGCGCAGCGCTCGGGTTCGAACTGGAATGAATACCGCGCTCTGCTCAATCTTGGGGTGGTCTGCGCGTTACATCCGAGCTCTGCGATCTGTACTTCTGCGGTGATGCCCTCCTTTGTCGTGTATAACGATCTTATTATGGTGCATAAGGAGTATCTGGTGTTGGTAACGGCGGTGGAGCCGGAGTGGCTGGCGGAGGGGGGGTTATACAAGGTGAAAAAAACCGGGAAGACGTCTGGGGGGCCGCTCACGCAGGCGTATCCTGTCATCCATGAGCTACCTCACGCGCGATCTGTCGATGGAGGCGCACGCGGAAGGCGAGAGAGTGGGGAGGGCGATACGAAGCGTCAGCCGGATCCGTTGGTCGCGGTCAACCCGAAACCAAAGTTGCTCCCCACAAAACCTTCTCCTGTTGGGGGGAAAAGCGCGCCGAATTCATCAAAATTTGCGGCATCTTTCTCTGGAAAGAAACGGGCGAATATTTAACTGTATCAGTGGTAGTAATTGTTGTATTATTACGTCTGCATATGTTAGGTTGTTTTATTCTTTAATTGGCTGTGTGATACAAAATAAAATTTTATTATACGGGAAGGCAAGCAATGTTGTACTAGTGAAGCATCTTTCCTGAATTCTCTATTCATCGTTTTTAAGTTACATTTTGTCGTGCATGCGCGTAAGCTAATGCATATTTAACCTCTGGCGTTCTAGTAAACATATAATGACATCCTTAATTTCTTCAAAGCTCCATTATGGAGAGAAAACCTCTATTAGTACCGTCACTCGTGCGGTAAAGCGACACTTGATGCCTCTTCGCGTGCTCGACCCCTCTCTTTTGGAAACCACTCCCGATGATATCAAGGCATACGCTAATGAGGCCGCGCTGTGGAATTCGCCGTGTTCTTCTCACTCGGTGGAGGCAGGAGCGCCCATCCCAAAAGGCTTGAATGAAGCATCCGACTCCGAAGTGGCGCAGGAAACAAATGGGAGTAAACACTTTGGACGCTTTGTTCGGGTATCGCGGCGGCGCACGGATTTACTCTCGCAGAAACCTTCAGATTGGCGATGCTTTCCCGCGAGCGGCGAGCCTGTTAGCAGCGTTTCTGCCGTATGCTCGAAAGAGGCTGCTAATACAGATGCTGATGGTTTCGATGAGACTTCTGAAAAGTCCGGTGAGGTGAGCGCGGCAGGTAATACTAAAGAGCGCACTGGAAAGGGGCGTGTGAGAGAAGGGGGCAAACGACCCTATAAACGACGGAAGCCCAAAGGGGGGGATGAGGGGCTTCAGAAGCAAGAGTCTACAACCTTACCTGCTGCTTCTAGCTCTGTAGAAATAAAGCAAAAGCGATCGAAGTTGAAGCGTTCTCGAGACGAGGATGCTAATTCAGATTTGATCAAAGAACAAAGCGCCGCCGTGGATGACGAGATGGACTTGCTCAATCAGGCGCCGAAGGGCAGGAAAAAACGCAAGAAAAAGCTTTCCTTATTGATATGCCCTCAGTGCAAACTTTCCCAAGTGGAGTGGCCCTTCTGTGGAATTACCGGGAACCCTCATACGGTGGAAGACGTCTGATTGCCGAAAAGGATTTGACCCAAAAATGGGTTTATTTACCTATATTACAGAAATCCCAATTTTGTTACCTTCTCTTTCTCGAATTAGGTAATATGGAGTTTTCGAAATAAAAGAAAATTTCTACTACGTTTCAATACTTTTAGGCAATCTATTTTCCAATAAAGGATCGCTTTTTTACGTTTTTATGTGACTTTACTTCCCTATTATCTTTCCATTTATTCCATAGAGATGAAAAAAAACTCATAACTAATGGAAACCCTCTTCCAATAAAACATAAGAGCTACTTTACCCATACTCCTAGTCTGGTGTATAATAGAAAGCAACGAAGATATTCAAAATCTCTTGATTTCTCATTGGAATTTCTCTTTATTTGTTTCCTTCTTGTGATTTTTGTGTAGCAATTCTTCGATGTTGTGCATGTAAGCATTCGACCTAATATAAATATAGAGAGATTTACGACATTTTCGAAGTGAAATCGGCCGACCAATTGTATCTTAGCCAAATTATCTACCCACAATCCAATCCAATCCAATCCCCCCCCAAAAAAAAAAAAATAATAAGAACGAAATGGTGCGTATCGACTCTGCAAACTCAAACAACTCGAGGCTGAGCATCGGGAGTGCGGGCAAAGCCACTGGCAAACGCAAAAGCATCAACTCCATGATCGGTTTAACCTCGGCGGATGCGAACGCGCTGCTCCGCTCGACGGCGGTGAATTGCCCGCCCTCGCTTTTCCTCGCCGACGGCGGCGAGCGCCCTGCGCAATGCCCTTTGATGGGAGGGGGAGGCGCCCATCCCAACAGCGGAGTCGGCGGCAATGGGAATGGCAATGGCAGTAGCAAGGTAACGGAGCTGTTTCATTATTACGCCCTCCGTGGCTACGCGGAGTTGTTGACGAGTGAGATGGCGGTGAAATCCGCCCTCGGGCGGCTCCCGGCGGCGGCGAAACCTTTCCCCGGTGGGGGTTCCGGCGAGTCGCCTCAAACCCTCTCCTTCGCGGACTCCCCTGCCTCCCTCAACGCCACCCTCGAGTCCGCCGCCCTCCACGCGACCGCGCGAGAAGGGGGGGAAAAATGGGAATCCCGCGACCCCCGGGATCCCTTCAACCCCCTCCCACGCGTGGATTCCGCGCAACCCCTCTTTCCCCGCCTTCG